AAGTCAATCACAATTCTGAAATTTTTGAAATTTTCAAAAGGTAAGGATCAATGTACCTTTGCTGGATGCTATTAAACAGGTTCCTTCCTATGCTAAATTTTTGAAAGATCTATGCACTGTGAAGAGGAAACTGAATGTGAAAAAGAAAGCCTTTCTAGCCGAACAAGTGTTATTCTTAAAAACAATAATGCTTTGAAATATAAAGACCCTGGTTGTTCTATAATTTCTTGATTTATTAGAGAGCATAAAATTGAAAGAGCCTTACTTGATCTCGGTGCTAGTGTGAATTTACTTCCATATTCATTTTTTCAGAGTCTCAATCTAGGTGAGTTAAAACCAACTTCTATAACTCTTTTACTTGCCAATAGATCTATAAAAGTGCCTAGAGGAATAATTGAAGATGTGTTAGTACAAGTCAATAAATTCATTTATCCTATGGATTTTATTGTCTTGGACACATAACCTGTTGAAGCATGTAATTCATTTCCTGTTATTTTAGGACGTCCGTTTCTTGCAACTTCTAACGCATTGATTAATTGTAAGAATGGACTGATGAAGCTATCATTTGGAAACATGACATTAGAGATGAATATTTTCAACATTTGCAAGCAACCTGGAGATGATAATGATTTACAAGAAGTAGATCATATTGACGAATTAGTTTGTGATCAACTTGAATCTACTTTAAGTAAAAATTAGTTAGATGAATCTGAATATTTGCAAATGATTTATTCTGAGGAAGAAATCATGGATGAAAAATGCACTGAAAATGTTGATGCGGATCTTTTGTCAAAAGTGACAACAAATTCGACATCTAACATCACACCAATCGATGATTACTTTCTTAATGAATCCTTACTTTCTCTTAGTCCAACGCCTTGGTATGATAAAAATATCAATTTTCTTGCTTTAGGAGATTTGCCAGCTGATTGGAGCACCCAAGACAAAGAAAAGTTTTTGAACAAAGTGAAGAACTTTTATTGTGATGACCCTAACTTATTCAAATATTGTCCTGATAATATAAGATACATTTAATTTATGGTAAATGTTCATTTTAAATGCAGGCCTATCACATAAATAAAAGGATTGATTGATGACTTTAAGAACTTAAATTGCAAGGGCAAAGAGATGACCAAAATTAGAAAAGAGATGTCGGTGCAATCCAAACCGGAACACTGTTTGGTAATTGGGTCATATCTGGAGCTATAGATCTCAAATTTATGTTTACTTTATATGGATGGAAAGGTAAGACATAGGCCTACAACTTTTATATAGAGCCCAAGATCTAGAAAGGCCATTTTCAAGTCCCAATTGTAGCAACAACAAAGAAGCCCGAATCTGTCCTCCAACCCGAGCACTGTTCAGTATTTTGGCCACATCTGGAGTTCTAGAAGTCTAAATGAGCTGAAGTTTTTACACAAGAAAGCTGAGACAATTGCCTACAACGTTCATGTTTTCGAGTGGCTCTAATTTTGACGTTATCAATGATGTTTTGGGCAAACAAGAGAAGATAAAGATTGTCACCAAGTCAAAGAGTTGGCCATCCACTCATCAATTAGTCATCAAATCAATAGTTTCGAATTTTGGCCTATAAAAGGAGGCATTTGCCATGCATTTAGGCATCTTGGTTTCCAGATCAAGATCATGCTCTTGCTTTCTCTCTTTGTATTTTTTGTAATGTTTATGCTTTGCTTTCATTAATATCAATTTTATGCCTTTCATTTACTTAGTTAACTTTTATCTTATTTATGTTCTTATTTTGTTTATTTATTTTTCTTTCTTTTATTATGTCTAGCTAAGTTTATTATGTCAAGGTGAAAAGGTTACACTAACGGTGTAAGAATAAGTATAGTGTAAACTTAATATGGATTTTAATGTTTGATACTAACATGTTTTGTATTTGTTATCTTGTTCATTCTTTAATACTTTGCTTGTTAAATGACTAATCTTGATTTATGTTATATAAAACTTGGTACAACAAATGCTTGGCACTTTCATAGCCCATACTGTATGGTATAACCGACACTTAAGCTATGAAAGGAACTTGATTTGTTGTTAACATAAGTTATAATCATGAATGCTTGACGAGATTTACAAGGATTAACATTAATGGAATAAGATGACTAATGTAATCATGTTAAGAATCTAAAATCTGATTGGAACCTCCTTTATGTGTAGTTTCCAATTGAATAATAAGAGTTTATACTATACTTGTTTGACATACCATTAGTGGAACCTCTAACTTGACATTTGTTTTTATCATTGTTTAATCCTTATGTTAATCTTTCATCTCAAAGTTCTCATCAACTTCTTCTTCTTCTTCTTTATTATTATTATTATTACTATTACTACTACTACTAGTACTATTATTATTATTATTATTATTACTACTAATATTATTGTTGTTGTTATTGTTACTATTGTTGTTGTTTATAATTGTTATTTATAATTTGTACAATTAACCTCCCTGTGGTTCGACCCCGGTCTTGCCGGGTTATTTATTACTTCGACACTCCTGCACTTGGGAGAAGACAGGGAACTATTGATTTGATGACTAATTGATACAATCTTTTCGTCGTGTCATGTAAGAATAAGTATAGTGTAAACTTAATATGAAGTTTAATGTTCGATACTAACATGTTTTTTATTTGTTATCTTGTTCACTCTTTAATACTTTGCTTGTTAAATGACTCATCTTAATTTATGTTGTATAACACTTGGTACAACAAATGCTTCGCACTTTCATAGTTTATACTGTATGGTAAAACCGACACCTGAGCTATGAAAGCAACTTGATTTGTTGTTAACATAAGTTATAATCATGAATACTTGATGAGATTTACAAGTATTAGCATTAATCGAATAAGATGACTAATATAATCATGTTAACAATCTATAATCTGATTGGAACCTCCTTTATGTGTGGTTTCCAATTGAATAATAAGAGTTTATAGTATACTTGTTTGACATGTCATTAGTGGAATCTCTAACCTTGACATTTGTTATTATCATTGTTTAATCATTACATTAATATTCCTTCTCAAAGTTCTCATCTTCTTCTTCTCCTTCTTTTTCTTTACTACTACTACTACTACTACTACTACTACTACTACTACTATTGTTGTTGTTGTTATTGTTGTTGTTGTTGTTGTTATTGTTGTTGTTATTGTTATTGTTGTTGTATTATTGTTATTTATAATTTGTAAAATTAACCTCCCTGTGGTTCGACCCGGTCTTGCCGGGTTATTTATTACTTCGACACTCCTACACTTGGGAGAAGACATCAATCTTTTGGTCGTGTCACTCTCCCCTTCATAGGTGCCGACCCATTCAGCCTCATAGAAACTAGCAAAGCTCCCCCCCGTTTCAACAGATCTTCTTCTCCTTCACTCTCCTTCATAGCAACCGGCCATAAGCAGACCTAGCTCATCGGCCCAAACATGGCAAACCACACAACCCCAATGCCGATTGAACAACCACTCCTATCTCAAAAGCAGCCTTATCGGCCATGCATACAGCAGCAAAGCCAAACCCGTGGCTACCCCAACCGCTCGATTTGACATCGGCAGAAAGTAGGACAAACATAGAGGAGAGGAGAACAGAATGCTTTAAACAGATATAAAAAATACCCAAATAAAATCGATTGCCTGTGTTTTTTTTCTTTTATAGGTGACGGTGAGCCAGATCCTATTGTTTCCAGTTTCTTCCTCGTGGTGGCAAGTGAACCCACGCACCGCTAGAGGCGATGGTGCGTGGAGGAGACGCGTCACCACTGTTTTTGTGGTCTAAAAGCCTTCCAAATGGTTTTCCTTGATTTTTAGGGGCTATCATGTAATTTTTGAATTGTGTAAGGTGTTATTTGATTTATTTTGAATTTTTATGATTTGTAACTTGTAAATGTGGGAAAATAATAATAATAATAATAATAATAATAAAGATATGTGTATGTTTGTATTTTTTATGTATGTTATTGAATAATAAAATTAAAAAGATAAAAAAAATGAATTTAATATTTTAATTTGTATGTAGTCAAATATCTAAGGACAAATAAAATCATGTTGTATTTTTTATGAAAATATAAGAACATGTTTCCATATATTTTTTGGGATTTAATAACTGATTATTAAAGCCTTAAGAATTTGACTAATATGTGGTTTTTTTAACTTTAATTGTGATTGAATGTAATGTTTGTGTTTTTGACAAAGAAAAAATAAAAAATATTTTTGTGTGTTGCATATGACCAATATCCTATCATGTTTTGAACGTTTTTGTATATAAAAAAAGAGTAGTAAGTATTCAAAGTTTTGAAAATGTGTTTTTTCATGGATTTCTTAAATACAAAAAATTATTTTCTTGTATTTATGGATTTTACAACATGTTTGTAAAACTCCAAAGGATATTGGCCAATATTTAAAAAAAATATAAAAATCTTATTTTGTGGGGAATTCATCTATTATTCACCATTAATGTTTGGATAAAGAAATCCTAAATGGATGAATATCCAAAATATTTAATGGGAATAGCTTGTTATTATTCATTGTTAATATTTGGATAAAGAAATCCTAAGTGGTAAATATTCAAAATAATTTTCTATGGATAATAAGTCATCACACATCCTTGAAAGAAGTCTTGATTATGATCAAGAACATTTCAAATTTTTTTTACTGCACGGTTTATGAGCCGTGAAAGTATAAAATAGTAAGACAAAAAAATAGGCTTTTAAAGTACTCTAGATTACTAAATTTTTGTCCCTTCTTTTTGCGATTTATAAGTCGCAAACTCTTGAAATTCTAAGGGAAAATGAGCTTTAAAAGCACATGGAATCTCCTTGGATTTCTATCATAATAAATTTAGTCTGAATCAAACCTAGAAAAACTGATGGGATTAGGAAACACCAACACCATAGAAATTATAAAGCAAACCAAACATCAAGCAGCTTACCTTAGGTAGGTCATACTAGGGGTGTCAATATCTTTCTTATACGCAACCAATCCTTTACTTTAGAATCTCTGAAAAACCAATTAGGTTTTCTATAATCATAACACTAGTTGACAACTCCAAATAACCAAACACAAAGAAACAAAAAAATCGCCAAACAAATGCCACTTGGGAACGTGCGACATTCACCATCTCTATACTTGTGAATTCACAAGCTTTTCTTTCTTTCTTTTCAGACTGGCTTCTCTTCCTTCAGATCTGCTTCTCCGCCGTTTTTTGATCTGTTCCACCACAGATCTCTCTTTGGCTTACGTCTTCATCTTCTTCACTTCAGGTGGCCGGCGTATGACCAAAGGGCTGCTGGTCTGTTGGTGCTGCTGGGTTGTTGTTGTTGTTGTCGCAATGGAACTGAGAGAAGACTGGGAAGAGGACAATGGGGCTGCTGTTGTGTTCGGCCTGAGGAAGAAGGGAATGGCTGTGGGGCTGGCCTCCTGTGTCGGTGGGCAACAGTGTTCCCTTGGCTGCGAGGGAGAATGACGGCTAGAGGAGGGGCGCGACCGGATGACCTTTGGAGCAAAAATCACAAAGCAGGGGAACGGTTTTGGGGAAGAAAAGCAGAGGTAAAGGAGTGCTATAGTCGTTATCTTGGCTGCTGCTATTAGAGGCTGAATGAAAAAGGGGACCTGGTTTAGTCGCTGATGGAGAAGAAGAAAAGGGAAATCGGGGCCCCTTTTTTTGGTTTGCTTTGGGGTTGGGGGGAAAGAAAGGCTTTGGTTTTTCTTCTTCTAAGGGAATGGCAGCCTGGGAGCAGAAGAGGGGGGACACAAGGGGATCGTCTTTGAGTGGCGGCTGCTTTCTTTTATGGCAAGGAGGGGGAAGAGCTGTTGCTGGGTCAAAAGGGAGAATGGCTTTGGGTCTCTTCTGTGTTTTGGCCAAAGAGAGAGCAGAGACAGTGGGGGAGTGTTGGATTTTAAGTGAGGGAGAGGAAGACTTGCCCGACTGAAGGGAGAAGAAACTGAAATTCAAAACCCCCTTCAGCCAGGGGTTTCTCTAGTTTTGGTTGAAGAAGGGATCGGCTGCTTTGGTGTAGGAAAATGGGGAGAAGCCTCCAATGGCAGAGAGGGGCTCTGTGTGGGGGAAGAAAATATTTTCAAGTTTTCAAACTGGTCCCTCAATTTTATTTTTTTTTCTTTTCTTTTTTTCGTTAATTTTGATTTTTTTTTTTATATATACTTTTAAAGCGAGCAATATGAATCTCGACTCAATAAAAAAACTCAGTAATTATAGAATTTACGCGTTAAAAGTTGAACGCGTTTGAAATCGCTTTAGAAATTTAAATTCTTCTAAAATGACGTTGAAAATATTAAAATGATGCAAATATATCAAAATATATTTTTTTGGGATTTTCGTTGTTATTTTATTATTTTTTATTTTTTCTACAAATTTATCAAAAATATAAATAAAAAATTAGATAGCAATAACCATGATCATAATTATAAAAAAATAACATTAAAAAAATAAAAATAATTTTCAAATACTCGAACCAACTAAGCAATGTTTATAACTCTTCGTTAGCAGTCTATATTTGCAGTACTAAACACGTCTTCTAAGATGTGGGACCAATTGTTGGGCAGCCAGAGTACAATTTGCTCTCCAGGCATTCTAATATTCCGTTGTATACCAACTTTGGCCTTGATCTCACCACGCGCTACTAATGATGGCGCCTGAAATCCACGCACCGCCACTCTATGGCTTTATCGGAATGATGTAATCTTTAATGATGCTACTCCAGATCTTCAGGGTTGCTTCTGTTTGATTCTTCAAAGGCTTTCCTAATGGTTGAACATTGATAGAAACACTTTTTCTTACACCAGGATGAATCTAGGGATCAGCTCTGATGGGCTCAAATTCTGGAATAACAGAATAACTCACAGCTGACTTTTACCATTTTTTCCTTTGATTGGTCTCTGCTCCCTTTTTTCGGTTGCAGCAGCCGTTCTTTCATGGCTTCTTGTTCTTTTTTCTGTTGTTGTCTTTTTTCGAGTTCTTTGGCTATCTTCCCAAAAATTAATATAATCTCGACTGTTATCTAAAAACAATTCGGGAGGATATACTATAATAGCTAGTGCCAGCAAGTTGATCGCGAAATAGCAAAAGAAAAAACATAGTATAAAATACAAAAGAAAAGGGCAACAACAGAAGAAGAAGAAAAGGAAGCCGTTAAAGAACGGCTGCTGCAACGAAGAAAAGGGAACAGAGACCAGACAAAGGAAAAAATGGAAAAGATAATTGGTGTTGATGATGTAAACTGCAAATAACATCAATTATTGGAATTGGTAGCACCTCTGAAACACTTCTAGTCGATGCCATGTGTTTCGGTGAGGCCATTTTGTAGTTAAGTTAGATGCTCTGATACTACAATAGAAAACACAATATATATAATACAAGATTCAACACAACTTTATTTAATTCTTATTAAAGTAATAAATAATAATTCACCTTTATTATATATTCTTATAATAATTTCATTTTATATATTATAAAAAAACCAACTCAACTCAAAAGTTTAATCTGTTAGATTAGATACTAAGATATTATTTATATTATTCTTTAACATATCCTATCAAATAAAAGCATATGGGCTTGAAACTTGTACAGATCTATATTACCTTGTATTTAATTTTTATCAAATAAATAAGGATGGTGAGATTCAAACTTATAATCACTTGGTTATTGAAACTTTGATATTATATCAAAGAACCAATTCAACCTAAAAACTTAAACTGTTAGGTGAGGTAGTAAAATATAATTTATATTATTTTCTAACATATACTAAAATATAATTCATATTATTCTCTAACATGTATTAAATAAGCAAAACACATATACTAATTTACATTTATTTTTAATGAGGAATAGTTCATTAAAAGATTGTATATATAGGGTTCTCAAACGGCTTAATTATGAAAAACTACTAGCTTAATTAGTGAAGTGGCTATGATTAGTATAGAGACAAATACAAGATTGACTTTCATGAATATTGCTCTCATGACTAAAGATCAATGAGCTAGAAGACATTTGTCTTTGACAATAAATGGGTGACATGTGGAGAATTAAGATGCGATTGCTATGTAGAAGCAGAGGGCATGTGCAGGTTCTAGAAACAAGTTGACTCTTCTCAAGATGGTGAGCTCGGTAATAGCATTGTAATACTCAAATTATAAAGACAGACATGGATCAACCTTTGGTGGGCTGTTCTTATGGTTAAAGGTGGAAAGCTACCTAACTCTTGAGACTAAGAGTATGAGACTCACGGAGAAATAAGGCAAGGTTTCTAGGGTGGAACAAAGAGCAGACGCAACTCCAGAATGAGTAGAGAATGTTGGAAGATTGGTGAGCTTGTGATCATATTGAGATACTCAAATAATGACTGTCGCACTTGGAAATATAAATTTTTGTTTGAGGGGGTATTATAAGCCTTGGTGTGAGGCTTGAAAAATCATTCCGGACTGAGCATGGTTAATATGCTCGAAGGGGAATGCTTTGTCCTAGAGACAAGCGTTAACACTCTTCAGATGTGATGAAGTAAACCATCTAGTTGAAGTGATCCTTTAAAGTGAGTAAAGGGGTGCTTGGATTACTCTGATGATTGAAAGGTTTGGTGAGTACCTGTAAACTTGCTCACAAACGCTCTCAGAATATTAAGCTTGGAAGGGTTGCAGGATGCAAGCTTGTGCTAAAGAAGCAAGATGATAATTGCCCATATAAATGTCAAAGGGGGTGATTGTAGGGATATTGCTATGAATCGACAACAACATGTGCAACCTACCCTAGGAAATAGGGTTGCCATTTTCAAAAGGCTACAATGGTAGTTGCACCAACCATTGACAAAAATGACGCAACCCATGTGCTGCCACCATTTGTGTCATAATTGATGGCCTCATGCCATTAATGTCTATAAATAGATGTATTATTTGAGAGCAAAATGAGAGAGTGAGTGAGAGTGAAGAAAAGAGAAAAAGAGAGAAAGAGGGGTTGTCAAAAGTAGTAGTGTATGTGAGAGAAATGAGAGTAGAGTTTGAGTGAAGTGATCCTACTCCTTTATGTATGTTGTAACTCTTTCTCTATTTATCTTTAATAATATTGATTTTTTTCATGGATGTAGACGATTTGCTTAATATCTTATGAGCAATTATCAGTACACCACTGTTCCGGATTCCCCAGCAAATAATGGCCTTGAAGCTAGTATGTAATATATATAGTGTTTCATGGGGTGGTATTTGACTAATATGATGTCAAGCTTGCTTAAATCGGTTACTTGTTACAAAATTGGGTGTAAGTTTATGGTTATGATTAAATATTGTTGAGTTGATTCAAGTGAAATAAGTACAAAAGGGTAGGGTACATACGCTACATGATGCTAGTTGGTCATAAGGCCAAGGGATTGCTTAACATTATGGTTGGTGTGCTTTAATTTATATTGTTTTTCGAAAGGAAAGAACTAAATTGATGATTTTAAGTATTTTTTAGTAGTCGAACCATCAGTCTTGCTCCCATACTTGTTGGGGATGTGAAGATATTCACCTGGGATTTTATAGACTCTATATGCATGGATCTGCGCACGTGAGAGTTCATGTACATGAATACGCACAACTTTCAATCTAAAAATACAAGTATAAGCTAGTTATTTTTCTTATTTTTAACCCCTATAGAATTTCACTTGATATTTATAAGAATAAGTGTTTCTAGAAAGCTTCCTTATTAAAAAATCTAATTTTCTCTGGCATAATTTAGACGTTATATATATATAAAAAAAAACATGTTTCAAAATCTTTTTAACATAATGATAATAGTGAAAAGGAAGACAAATGACAACAAAAAAATATAAAATGGATATAACTTTGTTTTGTCACCGTGAAAATATAAAGTTAGTGCATGATGGACTACAAGTCAATAAAGCCCAAAACCAATTTTGTATTAAACAAGAATACACAATTATTTTTCTAGCTATAACTAAAAAGCATGTGTTTTTCTAATGGATATGCTTTCAACATATCTAGATTGATGAATTTAGAGAATTGCAGATTGCATGAAATAAAAATTCATGATTGCTATGTGTTTATGCAAAAAAAATCATTTCCCTCGCTTATAGGGATTTATTGCAAAAACAAATATGGAATGCCCTCACAAAAATCAATCACTTTTTTAAAGATATATGTTTTAGTGAGTTGCATACCTAATACATAGAAAAACTTGAATTGAATATCGTCCAAAAAATCCAAAAATGTAAGATGATTTTCCCTTCATTCTTTTGTGATTCAATGAAATATCTACCCATACATTTTTGTTTGAGGCAATTGTTAGAGGTCATATCCATTATACATGGATATATCCATTAGAAAGGTTAGGAATCACATATGCATCCAACATAAATTTTTGTTGTCTTTTGTTTTTAAAATATTCATTTATTCAATTTCTATTTAATTCAATGAAAATACTTGTTTAACCTTTAAAAAAAAAGTATAAAACAATGTGCATGCTGAAGTTTCAATATGCGAGGCTTATATTGTTAAAAAGATCTCAACATTTGCCTAAAATCCCTCAACATGGACTTAAAAAAAGTGAAGATTTTGAGCAATCAAATAAAGATCTGCCATAATTATATGGAGATCTACCACTAAAATATTATGTAGATAGCAAATAGATAATTTATAGACCAAGTAATTTCAAGAAAAAGGTTTGGTTGCACTATACAAACAAAATGACATTAAAAGATTATAAATTTTTATCTAATTATTGGATTACATTTTAATATTTTTGGGAGATTTATAAGGATCGGTTCCATTGAAGGCCTAACTTGCTATAACTAGCTGAACTTTAAAAGACTTTAAAATTAGGCCTCGAAGATGTTGTTTGAGCCTATTTTGTTATTTTTTCTTGACTTTTCTAGATTTTATGTTTTGTAAAAGTTTGTGATAGGTTTTTCATTTTATACAGGGATTATGATTTTCTTTCCTTACTAAGGTCGGTCTCATGTTTATTTAAAGACTTGTAAGGCATAACTCATTAGCGTTTATTTTCATGGATGAAACTATGACTTAGAGTTCTAGTGGGACATCGACAACACCTCCCCTATACTAAATAATACCCAAATCCACAAACCTACACATGTTAACAATAGCCACAACCAATTTACCCAATCTATACTAATTATTCCAACATATTCAATTCCTAATCCTAAGGTAAATTCAACATTAAAAATTACAATTCCACAAATTATTCAATAATTATGACAATACAACAAAACAATAAATTAAAAAAAAATTAGAATAACAATCAAAATAAATGGAAAATGTCATAACCCAATTCTGGGTTATTCCCCAAAATTCACTTTTTTTCAAAATAAAAATCAAAAAATAAAATAAAGGCTGGCAACATGGAGAAAGTTGATCTAGAAAGACTGTAAAAATAGGCAAAAATCAAGCTGTAATTTTCAAAGGAATTTCAAGGCCTAATTGTACCCTATTATGCCTAAAAATAGGAAAAATACAAATTCCAAGGTCAAATTAAATGAGTATTGAACGAATTTATATAAAAAAATATCATTAAATTTTTAATGGGCCAATTTGATTTAATTGTGGGACAAATTGAATTTTAATTATGTTCATGAATTAATTTAGGTCCAATTAAAAGATGTAATTAAGTGCAAAGACTTAATTATACTTTAAGCAGGTGAAATTAATTTGAGGACTTAATTGGTGAAAAATTAAGTTTGAAGCCTTATTTGGACTTAATTGAAAAGATTGAAATTTTAAGAGATCAAATTTAATTTTTACCAAGTGAATTGATTGAAATTAGGGGCCAAACACAAAAATTGAGGGACCAATTTTGAGACCCAAAAAATACATTGCCTATAAATAGCAACCTATAACTCAAGCAAAAGGTGGGGCAATTTTACAAGAAAAAAAAGGTATTTTTACAATTTTGAGGGGCAATACAAAAAAAAAACCCTAAACCTAAACCATCCTTCGGACTGGCTTTGTTTAGATCCCTGAAATCTACACATACTCTGATTTTATTATCCTTTTTTGGTACCACCACTATATTAGATACCCATTGAGGGTATTTAATAACTTCTAGAAAACCGGCATCCCACTGCTTCTCTATCTCTGCCTTGACTTTGAGCACAATATCTGGGCGAGTTCTTCTTAATTTCTGCTTAACAGGTTTGCATCCTTCTATCAAAGGTAATCTGTGTACTACAATATCAATGTCTAAACCAGGCATATCTGTATAAGACCAGGTAAACACATCGATATACTCTTGTAGTAATGAGGTTAAACTACATCTTTCTTCTGTAGTGATCAGAGTTCCAATCTTTAACTCTC